AGTAACTCACATAGATTATTTCTTAATTTTGTTATTTTTATATTCAAAATTATCTTCTATCTTATTTTTATTTATTTTTATATTTATTTTTTCTCAAAATTTTTAATATCTTATCATCTATAATAGATTTATAGTTCAGAATTTATATAAATATCCTCTCTATTTTCCTTATCTTTTCTTTATTCTTTTACATTTTCACTTTTATCTATTACTTTTACCTTATTATTTTATATTTTTTTGAGTTCTTTTATATTTTTCACTTTTATTATTTTTATCATATCTCAATTAACTACTTGAATTATTTCTTAAATAATTAAATTTCTTGAAGAGATATAATAAGAGATCTTTACTTAACAACTCTTTGAAATAATTACTTTTTCAATCTTTAGACTACTCACTTATAATAATATAGAACAAGAAATATATATTTTTCTTTTGGGCTTACTTATGTAATCTGAATTTACTAAAGATATTAAAATTAATTATATTTTTCTCTTAGAATATCAGATAATAATTAAATCAATTAAAGTACTTTCTAAATCAGTTAATATCACTACTGACTTGAATTTGACTAATTAAATATCTTTATTATTATCATATTAAAAGATAAATTTAAAGTTAATACTAGTAAAAAAGATACTAAAGAAGAAGAATTAGAATTTATAAATTCTGATAACTTAACTATTTCTAAAGAAAAATCTGAATTATCTATTCTTATATCTGATAAAACCAAATCTATCTTGAAAAAAGATTAGTCAGCTAAACTTGAAGAAGTTATATTATTAATCTATAATAATTTATTAAATAATAATAAAATAATAGCTTAACCTTATAAACTTGAATATTTACTCTTTATTAATATACAAGAATTATAATAAATATAAAAAGAAAAATTAAAGATATTATTAAAAAATATATATATGATAAACTATATAATATTATTTAAAAGATTTTTTTTATTTATAAATCTGAAAAAGAAGTATTTGATAATTAATTTGAATTTATATTAATCAAGTTATATTACTTGAATAAGAAAAAATTATTAATTTTTATAAGAATAAAAATTTTCTGAAAAAGGACTATATATTATTATAGTAATATAAAATTTCTTAATTTCATAATTTTTCTTTAGTTATGTGAAATTCTATTTTTCTATAATTTTATATTTATTTTATAAATATCATTATTTTTATATAATATATTTATTTTTGTTATTATATTTATTATTATATTTCTATTTTTAAATATTATATCTTATTTCTTTTTATTTAAAATTTATATTTTTAAATTATTTATAATATAATTTTCATATATAGTAAAATAGTATATTAAAAGATTATTTTTAATTTTTAATAGAATAATAATATTTAGGTGAAGATTATAAATATTTATATATATCTATAAATATTAATATTTCAAATATCTTTTAATATCTTTTAACATTTATATTTCTAATATTAATATTTAAATTATAGTATTTTAATTATATAATTTTTTATAATAATAATATATATATTTAGATAATATTAACTAGTAATTTTATATATTTAAAAAATATATAAAAGAATCTACTATTTTAGCTTAAAATAAATAGTTTTGGATTGAATTATTTAAAAAATATAATTAAAAAGCTTATTATTATAATAATAGTAATCTTTTTAAAAAGTTTTTTTTCTAATTATACTAGTACTCTTTCTCTTATTTAGTTTTATTTTTTTAATTATACAAAGTTGATTTTGATTTGAATTATAATATTATATTGATTTTTGATATTATTTTGAAAGTCGAAGATTTTTATTATAAATAAGTTATACTTTTATTTTATTTATTTTATTTTTGAAAGTAAAATATCTTTATTATAAATAAGTCATACCCTTTTTAATTAATTATTTCATTATTTAGTTTTGTTTTTACTTTTTTTTTTAGATATAATCTTCTCTGATTAATAATAGCTTTATTATTTAATCACTATAAATCTTGAATTATATTAATTACTAGTGACTTTACTAATCAATCTTTATAATTTTCTTGATTTATTTTATTCTTTTATTATTTATTTTATTTTTTATTAAAATAATATCTATAGATATTAATACAGATCTTAGAAATCTTTATTATTATTGAAAGTATAGTTTAATTTCTCTTTATTTGTCCTTTAGTTAATTTAATCTAATAAGCTGAATTTAAGTAAAAACTTACTTATTGATTTATTATAATATTATTATTTATCACATTTATAATTTATTAAATTATAATTATTACTTTTCAAAAATATAAATTAAGTTAATTAATTTTATTAATTATATATATTTTAAAATAGAAATTATTATTAATTTATTTTTTTTTATATTTATTTTATTTTTTTATCAATATATTTTTTTTATTCTGTAAAATAACTTCAGATTTAAAAATAATTTAAATAATAAAATCATAAATTTATAAATTAAAACTATTTATATTATACTTTATTTTATTTATAATTATTAACAAAATAATCTTATAATAAATTTAAAATCTTTTATAAAGTATATAACTTAGTTTAGATAATTTATATCTGCTATTTGTCTAATTATATTTCTATATTTTATATTATAATCTTATACAGATCCTATTTGATAAAGAAAATATAATTATCTATAAAGATATTATTAATAATATGATAATTAAAAAGTAGTTCTAAGAGTAGTTATAAATACTTTCCAATTTTCAAAAGATATAACATTATTATTTGCTTTATATTTGTTAAAATATAAATATAAAGCTATATTTGTTAAGAAGATAATAATATATTATACTTAAGTCTTCTTATTTATAATTTTTTGAGCCAGAAATACAGTTTTGACTTGTATTATTCAAACAAATATATTTTTATTAGATTCTTCTAAGTAAATAAGAAGTTTAATTAATAGATAAGATAAGAGCTTTGAATTAAAGAAATCATCTTCTTTTACTATCTTGATAAGTTTAGTTATACTTTTCATAAATTAATCAAATTATTTACTATTTATTTTGATAATATTTTATTTTTAAAAATTAAAATATATATATATAAAATATAGTTGATATATAAAATATTAAAAGATGATATTTGTAATAATCATGTTTGCTATTATTAAGTTGTAAGATTATTTTATAAACAAAATAAAATATAATATAAATAGTTTTAATTTATAAACTTATAATTTTTATTATTTGAATAATATTTAAATCTGAAGAATAATTTATAAAATAGAAAGAATATATTTATAAGAAAATGAAATAAATATAAAAATGAATAAATTAATAATATTTATAAATAAAATACATATAAATTAAATAAAATTAATTAACTTAATTTGTATCTTCAAAGAGTAATTCAATAAATTATAAATAATAATATAAGAAAGAATAAATAAAATTATAAAAGAAAATATTAAAAGAAATCTAATTAAAATATTAATTATCTGAATTAGATATATATAGTAATTATCTGTATAATAATATAATAAATCTAATATATTAAATATATAAATAATTATCTATATATCCAAAGTGAAAATAATTTTAAATAAAAGTAATATAAAAGCTAATTTATTATACAGATAATGCAAAATAAAGATCTAATTTAAAAGAAGATAATTTAATTAAAATTATTATATTATATCCAAAAAAATATATATAATATAATATTAAAAATTTAATATAATTTTAATTCAAAAAAATTAAATTATTAATACAAATAATAAATTTATCATTATAAAATTATAATATTAATTATATCAATTATAATTTGATATTTTTTAAATCTGAAAGAGAAATGATGATTTAAAAATTTTAATTTGAATATTGTATTATTTTTTATCATCATTGTATATATCAGAAGTTTACTTAAATATTAATTAAATGAATGCTCTTAAAATAATTAGATATAATTAATTTTAGAATGAGACTTGAATTATATAATTAGTTAATATTAATATAATTTATTATTGTAATAATTATTTTAACATAATAAAAAATTACATGACATATTTCAAAATATATAATAAGTATTTGATTTAAATTCTGATCAGTAATTTAATAGTACATATTTTAAATAATATTATTACTAATTTATTTTTTTTAAATTCTATTTATTAAAGACTTTAATAGCCTTTAAATATTATGTAATTTATTAATGAGTTATAATTTTTCACATTATATAATCCTTAGATTTTTTATAATAATAAATTATATTTGCTTATTTCTTTAATATTTTTTATTTCATCTAATCTTTTTTCATTTTTAAATAATTATATATATTATACATAAATATACGTATATAAATTTTTTTATTGTTTGAAATTTAATAAAATTTAAATTCTTACAATTTTTTTATATAAAATCATTCTAAAAGTATAAAATTTGTAATATTTGTAACCAATTTTAGACATATTTGAAGAATATAATATAAAATTTGGTAAAATTCTAAAAGAAAAAATTCTTTAACAGATCTTTTGCAAGATTAAATTTCATTTAGAAGAATGAATTTAAATGCATACTCATAAAATTACTGTATACATATAAATGATCCGAGCCAAATAAAATGTGTGCATGCATTACTTAAATCTGAATATTGTATTTTTTGCATGTATCAGTAGCTTTTGGATGGCGCTTTAATGCTGCCATCCTGAGATAATATGCACCTTTTTCTTCATCTCGAGTTGCTCCCCCCAATCCATTGTAATAACTGTATCCAAGATTATACATGGCGGTTGAGTTTCCATTATACGCAGATTTCTCAAAATATTCCATGGCTAATAATTCATTTTTTTCAACCCCTTCGCCTTTACAGAGACAATGACCATAACGAAGTTGAGCCTCAGCCAAACCCATTTCAGCTGCTTCTTGAAAATATCGTGCAGCTTTTACCATTGCCGCATTTTTTTGCTCGTCAGTATTTTGATCATTTAATGAATTATTATACAAGTAATATCCGACCCAATATTTCGCAACGAGATCGCCTAAATTCGCATATTTGCAAAATATTTGATATGCTTTATTACGATCATCACTCCTTGATTGATGAATATTGATGGCATCCTTAATGGTTAATTCTTTTGGCCTTGGAAGAGTAGTAGGTTGAAAAGTAGATGGAAGATTTCTTTTAGAAAGATCAAATAGTTGATCAAATATATCTTTAATAGCTGGGCGATTCATAGGATCATGACTTGTTGCTGAATAATTAAAGGGATAAACGGATTTTATTATTTTATTAACATATTAAAATGACATTCATTAATCATCTCAATTACCTTTATGAACAATATCTGCCCATTCAAATGGAACTTGCAATGGCGAAGAAAATTGTTCTCGTTTATCCTCAAGAATCAAGTCCTTGACTTCTTCAATGTTTTTATTCTCAAATGGGGGCTTGTGCTCAGCTATTTCCCAAAGAAGTACCCCAAAACTATAAAATAAAAATTAATAAGAAAAAAAATCTATAGTTTATTGTTGATAGTTATTCGTGGAATTTTTACCTATATATTTCACACTTAAAATCATATGGGTGTTTCTCATTTTTAAGCTTCTCTGGTGCCATGTATCGGACAGTTTCGAGATTTTCACTAATTTCTGTAGTAGCCTCTTGTAAACTACGACTTAAAGTGAAATTGGCAATTTTTGCTGTATACCTCGGATTGCCATTTGTAATAAAAATATTTTGACTGCGAA